CCTCAGCAGGACGGCTGCAGGGGGCCAGGCCGAGCCGCGCGTGCACCTCTCAGCTTCTATTATGCACTGTTCCTCCTTTTTCTCTCTCTTGCTTCTTCCGTCCTATCTTTTCATTGTTCTCACTCTGTCTTTCACAGCTAGCTCATCCTTCGAGGTGGACCTGCCACTACGCAGTATTTTTTCGAGTCGCTTACAATGTTACCCATTTCCTAAGGGCACGAAAGGCCTCCCAGCTGCTCCGAGGGTGACGCCTCACCCATGTCTCCCCTCACGTGGGGGGGGGGGGGTAGGTGGGGGAAGGTTCCAGCCACGTGAACTGTGCCCAGGACAAACCACAAACCCATCTTCCTCGCCTGGCGCAGTCCTCGGGCGGCTTCCTAGGAGGCCGGTCCATCGCTGGTACTGACCAGGAGCAGCAGAACCTGTTCTGCAGGTTCACACAGGCCCCCGGTGGTGTCAACAGAACCAACTCCCAGCCGAAAGGATGAGTCTGGCACTGGTTCTGCTCAGCGTTTATTTTCACGTGTGTGTGTGCGTGTGCGTGTGTGTGTGTGGGGGTCACTATAAACCAAGATGACCGAGTCCTGCAGCCTGGCAACCGCGGGCCACAGAGAGGCAGGGCGTGGCGTTAGCCAGCAGCCACACTCCTGGCGACAGGGATAGAGTCACGCCATGGAAATGAGGTGCCGTTACAAAAGACACCTGCTTCTGCTGAGAAGGTACAAAACCGGTAACTCCCGTCAACGTGACCAGCAGGCAGGGACGGAATACAGAACAGACTGCGCTAGGGAACCGCCCACGAGGCCACCTGTGGCCGTGACTGACAGTGGGCACAGGACGCGCGCCCGCCGCCCACCCCACGCAGACCCCTCCCCCATGCGGATTTCCGAAACGTGGCACATTCCAGGGTCACGAGGACAGGAAGCTGCTAGACGAAGAGGGGCCCTCCTGACAGTTGTAAAGCATCAGGCGTCAGACAGAAACCTGTCAAAGGCAGCTGCTGCGGGCACTGATGGATCGTGTTTTCCCGCCGGCGGGCGGGCAGACAGTGGCGGCTGCGGAGGCGTGCCGTGAACACACACACGCGCGCACACACACACACACGCACACACGGGAAGCCATCGAGCAGATGGCTGCGGGCAGTCAGCCGCGCCTCCACAGACGACACCCTGCATGGAAGGAACTTGCGAGGAGGCGCCGGATCATCATTTATTTGTCACGGAGGATGAGCACACAGGACAGAATCAGGGGGACGGGGCCTGGGCATCGGGTGATGGTGCTGTGCTGCTCGCGGCTACAGTGTCAAGACACCCAAGTTGCCGCAGACAAACGTGAACATGAATCTTCTGGATCCATTCAATTAAAAAAAATAAAAAGCTTCAAGATGATGTTTGATGTCTCAAAGGTAATGATTTCATTAAAACCCGCCCACAAGGTGCAACCACAAAAGCTGCGGTTCAACGCCACACCTTCCAGGGCGTGACGGCGCCGTGGCGCCGTGGCAGTGCGGCTGTGACAGCGCGGGCTGCGGTGTTTGGGGCTCAGCCACGGCCCTAAAAACCCCAGACATGCTTCCAGTGCTCAGGGGAGGGGCAGTTTCTGTCACTGGGCCGCTTAGAATCGCAAGTGGTCAAAAATCTACAAAATGTGCCCAAGCATATTTCAACTACAAACCTTAATAGCCCCGATTACTCCTGATTTAGAAAAGGCCAAAGGTGGCAAGCTTCAGGAAAACTGTGCATTCATCTCTATGCAACTTTACCATGTCCGGGAAACGAAACAAAACGCTCGTTGCAAAGACTGGGCGCTAGAGTTGTGTACTTGCCACAGCCCCTGCGCACTGTTAGGGGCACATGGAGACCCCGGAAAATCGAGGTTTACACGGGAAATACCGACACGCCTTTTCACTGCACGGGGACACTGCAGGCCCCACTACACTACGTGAGCGCGTGACGGCTGGATGGACACGTGATTCTCGTCAGTCAAATCCACGCCGCTCACACCACTGTCGGCACAGACAAGCCTGTTGGGTGGCTGTTAAAAATGTTACCTGTTATTTTAAAAAATTATTTTTTTCTATTTTAATCAGACACAAGATTTTTAGAAAAAGACCCCGATAGTTAGTTGCAGCTCGGCTTTGTACAGGACAACCTTTCCGTTAAAAAAACGCCGAGGACTCGCTGACGCAGGAATCGGACGCGAGCGCTGTGCCTCGGTGTCCCGGAATGCGTCTCGGAACGGGGAGCGGGGACTTCAGACGCAGGGACGGAAACTATGCGTCTTGTCCCTAAATCCTCAGTCGCTTTCCCGCGGCGGACGGTCCGTCCTGATGCGGGTTACTTGAAGTTTCTGGTGCTCATTTTCCTCCCATAATCTATCAGGCCAGTATACAAAAAACTAAAAAATAACATAACATAACATAACATACCCCCCGAGAGATGGTGAAATGAGACACATACTCTGGGGAGCCCAGTCACAGAACACTGCGCCCCAAACAGGGGGGCGGAGGCAGGGCTCCCAGTCTCCCGGATCCTTCCGAGGACGGTGCCCACGAGCCCTGTGCTCCGTCACCGCGGCATAGGCGGGGCGCGTGGGGCAGGAGAGACGCGGCGGAGACGGTTAGTGGTAAACAGAGAACCGAGTCTCTCAGTAGTGTGTACTTGACGTTCATGCCGACGGTCGTCGACGGACGTTCGGAATATTCTCTGGGGCGGAGAGATGAGTCTGAGATAACAGGGAAACAGACGCCGAACTACGAGGACGGCTTACCCCAAACAATGTGAAATGAGAACTAGCACGAGGCGCAAGGCCCGGGAACCGCTCCTCGCCAGGCTCACATCCTCGCAGCCTCCTGGTCCTTCTCCTCCAGCAGCTGGATGAGCCGGGAGAAGCTGTCCTTCAGCGCCGCCACGTCGCCCAGCGAGCAGGGCTGCAGGATCCAGCGCTGTCCGCGCGCCAGCGGCTCCAGCTCAAAGTACTTTTTGACCTTGAGGGGGACAGAGAAGACCAGCATGTTGTTAATGACACCAGGACCTTTCTCATACCGACATGCGAAGAGTGATCACGTAGGGGGTTTCAAGGAGAACTTGTCCGAACTGTGATGCCTAGAACTTTCTAGAATCCCATCACAGCTGTGGTTAGAATGCAGGGATGTGTTGGGTGACCCAGGAATGTTTCTTTTTTTCCTTTTTCTTTATTAAAATACATTTTTATTGATTTCAGAAAGGAAAGGAGAGAGAGAGAGACAGAAACATCAATGATGAGAGAGAATCATGGATTGGCTGCCACCTGCATGCCTCTCATTGGGGATCGAGTCCACAACCCAGGCATGTGCCCTAACCTGGAGTCGAACCATGACCTCCTGGTTCATTGGTCAACGCTCAACCACTGGTCACACTGGCTGGGCTGTTCCTTTGGGGCGAATGGCCCGCTTGCCACGCCATCCATACTCTTACCGGGGGTCTACCACAGGCTCAACGGCACGGGGCAAAGTACCCTGCAGATGCCAGAAAGGCCCCCGGCCATGGAGAATGCCCGCAGGGCCAACCTCTCACCTGTCAGCCCGTCACCTCCTGAACGGGCGACAACCTACAGCACCGTCTGCACTCGATCCTCTACTCAAGACAGTTATTTGGATCAAACACACACAGAACAAAAATACAATTTACTCTTCTCTCGCTCCTCCATATCTGGTATGTGTTTCTGAGATGGGGAAAGTGGCCTTAGGACAGGGTGGGAGCCGAGGGCGTGCAGGTGTAGACTAACGTGGACAAATACACCTGCACGCGTGAGGGCTCCCAGCGCCCCCTCCTGGCCCCGGTGCCACAGGAACAATCCAGACCTAGACCTGGACGTGGGGGAACGTCGCTCGTAAATGCCGGTTGGATCACTGACCCGTCACGGGTGTTGCTTAGGGTGCCGGCTGGGATACCGACGAGCAGCGTCCAGGATCACCAACTCCTGGCTTCAAATACATTTCAGATCGTCATGACCGCTAGCGCCGATGGCCTTCCCTCCAAGGGCACGATACAGTGCTAAGGTCATGACCCCGACACCCCCCGGGCGACAACCTACAGCACCGTTTGCACTCGATCCTCTACTCAAGACAGTTATTTGGATCAAACACACACAGAACAAAAATACAATTTACTCTTCTCTCGCTCCTTCCATATCTGGTATGTGTTTCTGAGACGGGGGAAGTGGCCTCAGGACAGGGTGGGAGCCGAGGGCGTGCAGGTATAGACTAACGTGGACAAATACACCTGCATGCGTGAGGGCTCCCAGCGCCCCCTCCTGGCCCCGGTGCCACAGGAACAATCCAGACCTAGACCTGGACGTGGGGGAACGTCGCTCGTAAATGCCGGTTGGATCACTGACCCGTCACGGGTGTTGCTTAGGGTGCCGGCTGGGATACCGACGAGCAGCGTCCAGGATCACCAACTCCTGGCTTCAAATACATTTCAGATCGTCATGACCGCTAGCGCCAATGGCCTTCCCTCCAAGGGCACGATACAGTGCTAAGGTCATGACCCCGACACCCCCACACTAACCCTTTGTATGGCCAGCCAGGGAGGTTTCCATAACAGCACACCGTCGGGACCAGCTCAGCAGAGGCATCTTCAACTCTTTCTTGGCCAACACATTTCCTTCCATCCCAGGCGTCATGGGAAATGCCAAGGGCTCCCCTCAGCCTGGAACTTTCTAGAATCCCGCCCACAGCTGTGGGTCCTGACCCAGAACCACAGAGAGTGTCCCACTCGTAAGGCCATTCCCAAACGGCTTCCTTTTGCCTCGATCACCGCGAGCACCAGGCCAGTGTCGGCAGCAGAGACGCCGTTTGTGGCGCGGAGATGTGCACGTTCGTCCGTGAGAAGGAGGTGGAAGCACACGGAGTTTCCTGCCAACTTAGGAACATACATGAGCGTGCACAGTGCAAGCACGTCCCCAGGTCCTGCACAGGTGCCTGCGGGTCCTGATTCCTGTCGCCATCACTAAGAAATGAGGCCTTGGGAGTGGAGGGCTCCTGAGTGGGTCCGAGTTAACGAAAATCTCATTCTCGGCAGAAAGTGGGCCCACGGCCCCAGGAAAACGCCGCCGGGGGCTTGTCAGAATCCCATGAGGACGCTCCCTCAGGGAGAGTGTCAGCTCCGTCCTTTCCATTTCTCTTCTTTGGGGCCTGGGAACCTCTCAGCCAAGAGGATGGGAAACCGCTGTGTGACCCCAGCGCCAGGGCCCGCTGCTCAAGGCCACACTCCAGGGAGCTTACAGTCAGAGGTGCTGGCTTCGCCCAGGAGCGGGCTTCAAACGGCACCCACCCCTCCATACAGAGGCGGGAGCCGGGCTGGTGACGCACCCGGTCCCTGACCCACACGCCTCCATCAGGAGGGGCCGCGGGGACACCCACGATCTGGCCTGGGAAGGAAGTCGCACCCTCGCCACAGGCCTAACCTCACCCCTAACGGACAGCGTGTGAGTATTAGCGGTGGGAAGAGGTCTGGTGGCAAGAACTCCCCTGCGATTCACACAGAAAAGGATAAACACGACCGCGCGAGTTCCCGACAAGACCTCCAAAGGGTTCGTTCGAAAACGCACAGATGCAACCTGGCAGCTGTTAACAGATCATTTGCAAACAACGTGAGATTTACATGATCACAAAATAGGTGACATTTTGCAATTCCGGACACATACGCACGCACACACATGCATGCACACACGCACACACATGCATGCGCACACACGCACACACGCGCACGCATGCACACACACACGCGCGGACGCACACACTCGGCGAGGTTTTAGCTCCCCATCGCATGTGCACACACATGCATGCACACACACACACGCACGCGCACACGCGCACGTGCACACATGCACACACACACTCGCGGACGCACACACTCGGCGAGGTTTTAGCTCCCCATGAGGCTGCTCTCGAGGCCACTGAGGACCAGCTTTGCGTGGGGCACACACAGACCTAAGCGGGCAGCTGCGTCTCAGGAGCCGCTCCTGCTGACCCGGGAACGAAGCTCCCATCCAAGGTGGTCCCCAGGGAAGGGGCTGGGCCAAGCTGACAACCACGCTGGGAGCCCGGGACCTACTGCCATCTGACCTGCCCTGGGCACTGCTGGTGCCAGGGGTTCCTCACCGCTGTCCACTTAAAACAAGGGGGGGCTTGGGGGGCTTTAGGGACAGGGGAGTGAGGAGGCAGTGAGTGTTGTGTCTGGGAGACAGGCCACACTGGTTGAACCCCATGGTGGGAGGAGGGTCTGGGTGACACAGCTGCCAGGGCTGGGGAAGAGGGTGCCGGGCCCCTGGGAGCCCACGTGTCCGTCGAGGGTGCCACTGACTGTGCAAGGGGAGGGGTTTGCTCATCTACACCCGCTCAGGAGCCTGGGTGCAAATCCGGTATCAGGGTGTCCCCTGGGGGAGACATTCGCAGGGAAATGCTCATTGTTCGCCCTCTCTCCCACCGCTGGCCCAGGGAAGTCCAACCGACAGCCCTGAACTTGGCCGCGAGGGAGTGTTTTGCCACGGACATCTGCAAGTGAACAGCTGGGACCTTGTCCTTCCGGGGAGCGGCTGTCTACCTCCCACCGCGCCCCACGGGGCGCGCACGCCTTGAATGCGGGTTGGCAAGGGGCCTCCAGCATGGCAGCCTGACCGGCCCACGCTCAGGGACAGCTCAGCTGGGTGACCTTCCCCTGCCAGAGTGCACAGGCCCGGTGGCAGCTCCAGGCCGGGCCGGAGGCCGAGTGCCCGGGCATTAAGATTCCTCAGCGCATTCCTGGCGGCCACTTCAAAGCGCCAGCGGCCCCTCCTCGCCCACGGCCCTGGGATGTTGAAACCCTTGAAAGGTGCTGTGTGTCACTGACATAAATACAAGACGAGCACGTCCCAGGGATATGACCACCCAGAGTGGCACGGGTTCCCCTCACCGAGCAACGGGGACCAGGAAGTGGCAGCCCCGTGCGGGCCGGTCACCCTCGGGGCTGGTGCAGGCGAGGGCGAGATGTCCCACTACCACCTGGAGCAGGTCCCCCTCCCCAGAGCCCGCCGGCCCTCAACACACCCCTCCTTTCCTCCTCTCCCCTTCTGGTCTGTGATCATTTCTGCTCCACTCTTTCCAAAGAGCAGCATTTGGGGCCCTGACCTCTCCGAGGGGTTATACTGGATTCTGTGTCTCCCCGTTGGGGATGACACTCAGTGATGATTTTACTTTATTTCAAGAAATCAAATACCGTAACGAGGAAGAAACCTCCCTAGGCAGCACTTCTCCTGGCAACCAGAGGTGGGTGTTGAGAACATTCTCCCTGCACGTATGGGATGGAGGCAGGGCCGGGCCAGACAGGAGAGAGAATTAACGCACGGACGCCCCACACATCAGAGACGACCAGTCGGCTCGTGTGAGACAGGCGCGGCCGGCATATAAAACGGTCTGCCGCCCAGCGAGTGCGCGTTAAGTGGCCGCTTAACTAGATGCACTCACCGTGAAATTGACTCTAGGAGCATTTTTTCAACTTAATACTCATTGATATGCACTGCCCCGCTGGGCGGGCGGGGAGGGTCCTGGTGTCAGAGTGCCCACTGGGGGGTTGGGACTCTATCTTCCGAGGTTACGAGGCATGGGGGGGGGAGAGGCACACTCACCCACAGCTGTGTCTGCCTGAGGGGCGGCAACGGGTCGCATCTCGGTCCCCCCGCCGCCTGCGCGGGGCCTGGCTGGGCTGGGCTCTGTGGCCGGGCCTGAGTGTGAGGGCTGCTTCGGGTCAGGGACTGCATGTGGGCACTGCGCGGACAGGACCCCTGCCTCAGCGCCATGCACTCACCCCGAGGCCCTGGCGTCAGCTCACAGGGGACGCCGTCATCACACGGGCCCACAGTCAGAATTTTCCCAAGAAGCTCCTGTCGATGGTAACACTGGGCTTCGGTCATGCCTTCTCGTTCGCTTTTTCCGTTACACGCGCCTCCGCGCCATGCACGCCCTCACACGGGCGGCCGCCCGATGCCTTCCACGCGCCCCGCTCTCCTGGGCAGCAACTCGGGCTCCACACACAGTCCCATCTCACCTTCAGATGATGACGCTCCTGCCCCCCGCACCCCACGGTGTTCCCATGAGTAAGATGGCAAACTGCTTTGCTAGTTCTCACCTGAGGATATTTTTCCATCGATTTTTTTTTTAAGGGAGAGAGTGGAAGGGCGGGGAGAGACAGAGAGAAGCACCGATGTGAGAGAGACGCATCGATTGGTTGCCTCCCGCGCACCCCAACCAGGGCCGGGGATGGAGCCTACAACCGAGGAAATCAAACCCATGACCCTTCAGTCTGCAGGCTACGCTCTATCCACTGAGCCAAACCAGCCAGGGCAGTAAGATGGCAATTTCATGCCAGCATTTGAAAATAAAATCATCTAACGCTGGTGCCGGCCCAACGACGGCTTGTGCTAACCATACACAACCAGGAGGTGAACGCCAGTAAGAGGGTAATATAAACAGCGGCATGGAATCGGCATTCACCCGTGTTCATTTCAGTAACGAACTGCCTGCTGCCTGGTCTCCATCACACGTGGCGGGAGGGAAATGACCCTGAGCCCTTGGCAGGTGCCCATCCCGAGGGCCTGTCTTCACGCAGGAAGGAGAGGAGGTGGCAGGAGGTGGCGAGGGCCACAGGCACCAGACCAGCTCCGCCTGCTGGACTCCAGCTTCTGCTCAGATAAACTCGCGTAACCGACTCCTTCTGTCATCCTCCCCAGAGGGTATTTTCCCACTGATTTTAGAGAGCGTGGAAGAGAGAGAGAAAGACAGAGAAACATCGATGTGAGAGAAACACACCGATTGGTTGCCTCCTGCACGCGCCCCGACCAGGGCCCGGGCTGGGGAGGGGCCTGCCACCGAGGTACGTGCCCTTGACTGGAACCGAACCCAGGACCCTTCAGTCTGCAGGCCAACGCCGTATCCACTGAACCAAACAGGCTAGGGCTACCCCTCTCTCTTGCAGCAGCGCACTCCCCCCCCTCTTAAATTAGGCTACTAAGCCAAGGACTTCCTTGAAAGCATCAAAAGACATAATTTATTAACTGGGATTGAAGAGAGTTCCCTAAATGAGCAAATTACTCAACAGGCGAGGCCTGGAATGGCCTCCCGCCTACCTGAGTGGTTTCTATCCTTTTATGAAACATTGACTCAGACTCCTGGCGTTCAGGCGCAGGACACACGTCCTGCTGCGCCCGGGGTCCACAGACCCTCGTGCACAGACAAGCTGAGCGCCGGGAGCGGGGAACCCCCTGCCCCCCATCAATCCCCTCCCCACCCTCTGCCAGCTGGGCTTCATTTTAAGAATTTCACACTGAATATAAAGTGCTGTTTTGACCATGTGGCTCCAGAAATGTGAGTTTAGTGTCTATTCAGCTCGTACCCAAGTGACTGACTGACAGGGGAGGGGCTAACCAACCGGACACGGGAGCCTCTGTCTGCAGGTTCCTACGTGTCCCCGTCCCCGAGGGACAGATGGCGCCCGCACGCGTCCTGAGCAGAAAGCAGCCCCCAGCAGGGCCGCCTCAACCAGCCTGAGTTCCTCGGATGATGGATGAGAACGGCATCTCCCGAGAGGAGCGTGTACGCGTGACACCCCCTCCTGAGGCCTCCTGAGCAGGGGGCGCCCTCAGACTCGGGCAGGCCTGGCACCCAGGTGCCCCCTGCACCAGGCAGGCTCGGGTCCAGGTCAGACAGAGGAGACGCTGAGCTCAAAACAGACAGGTCTCCCCCCGCCCCGGAGCATCTTCACATCCCCCACTGGACACACAGATGCGCTTGTGAGCAGACTTTGGAGACCATGAAACATGCATAAAACACGATGCAGCTGCTCCTGCGGGCAGGCTGCCCCTCCCCTCCGGGGCGCCGCGACCTCTGAGGACGGGAGACCAGCTACAGGTCACGCGAGTGGAAATGTTCAGTGGGCACGGAGATGAATGACATGGACCATGACTCCGGGTCCTCTTGTTGGTGTTGGATGGTGACCCTCAGGAAAGGGAGGTCACAGAGGTCAGAGAAGGCACCTGTCTGACGCACAGCGGGGTTGCCACAGCCATGCGCACCGGAGACGCACCCAGGGACGCGGGGCACAGCGGGAGGGGCAGGCGAGGCCTCTGGGAGCTGCCGTGCTGGCTCCCTTCGCCGTCTCCGAAGCACGCGTGAGGCATGTGTCTCTCACTTTTATTGGCTCAACAATGTTTAGCAGATTGTCACACGCACGTCATGGGAGACCGTCACAATTTTATCCGTTGCTTTTCAAGCCGTTCTTAGTGTGACTTTAATGATTCCAAACAGCACTTTAAACTGTTCAGATGAATCGGAAATAAGATTCATTCCAAATGGCCGATGGGAAAGAGATTCTTCGAGTCAGGATTTTAGAGCCAGAGGCCCGGTGCAGCCTCTCGTTTACACATAATGAGACCGAGCCCGGGTGGGCGCAATGACCACCCCCGGTCAGCATGGGGTGGAGGGGGGAGGGGGGAGGCCCTGGCGTGAACCAGCCTCCGAACACCCAGCCTCACTTTCTTCCTGCCAATGGCCAGCCCCACACTGCCTGTCCCCCCACAGCCCCTCCCCAGCTGCTCCCTAACCCTACCTGCCCATCCCCACATCAGCCCCTCCCCAGCTGCTCCCTAACCCTACCTGCCCGTCCCCAGCACAGGAGCAGCTCAGATAGTGGTGGCGCCTGGGGGGGGGGGGCGCTGCAGGTCCCTCCCACAACCACTGTCTGCACTTCCTGGCCCTCCTCCCTCCTGTGCAGGCGTCTTTCTGCCAGTTCTACCCAATGCAATGCAGTGGGCGAGCCCTGATGCCCGAGTCCGTGTCCTGAGCTCACGGAGAAGGTGAGCGATCCATTCAACCCAAGAGGCTGCTCCCTAACAGGATGGGACGGAATGACCGTCAGGTCCCCAGGGACGCCTCCTCCCACGGCCTTTGATAAAACCCGCTTCCTCTCCAGCAACGTGTTCAAGATGGCTAAATTCTTCACTGACCCAGGTGCCCTAAAAGACATCAGCGTGTTTCTGGAATATTCTGTTTCCCATGGTGCTTGCTGACGGGAGATCACGCCCGTCACGTAGCCGGCTCCCTGGAGGGAAGGGACACGCTGGACTGGACAAGCCCCCGCGAGCACGGACCACGTGCACTGTGCACCTGAGCCCACGCCCTGCTCCTGACGCCGAGCACAGACATGGAGCCCCGGGCCTGGGGCTGCAGCTGGAGGCTCAGCATTGAAAGCAGGGGACCCGGAGGCCGCAGGCCGAGGCCCGGGAGGTGGGACGGAGCCCCAGACAGGCCCCCTGTGCCTGGCCCAGGGCAGAGGCAGCTCAAGGTGGTCAAGTTCAAATGCCGGCTCTGCCCTCTGCCGACTACGTGACCCTGGCGTGTCTCCTACCCGCCCTCCCGTGAAAGATGGTGGTGGTAGGAGCACGCAGCCCGAGGCTCCCCTGGCAGGAAGCCAGCCCACGGTCAGCACAGCCGTAGCCCCTTCCCTTTCCCGCCACTCACCCCAGGAATAACACAGAGAGCGAAGCACTTTCCCACATGGTCCCCACAGCGTCCTCGCAGCACCGACACTCGACGGAGCCGGAAAACAGGACCGACCGGGCCGGGCGACCAGGCCTCCGGCTTCAGCCACACGCGCTC